ACCCGGAGTCCGTTTTACAACAAGCTTTTCAGTATCTCATCTAACTTATTTTAAACAAACAAACAAACAAACAAACAAACAGATAGACAGACAGACAGGATAAACATCCAAGTACTATCACACAGTGGGGAAAATTGTCATCTGAGCCATGGTGAGGTGGAGGCCATTGTATGCTTCTCCATCACAGACAAACATCTTTGAACTGCATCCCAGTCTACACCGCCACATCCTGTCGCTACCAGTTGCTGAACTGCTCTGTGGGTTCTTCCTCATATGCTGCCCGTCTTGAGTCTCCAGGTAATCCTAGAGAGATGACATTTGGGGCCTAGCTTCTGAGCGTCACAGCAGCAGTGGTCATATCTGGGTCTGAGTGAAGCTGTGGCTTTGCTAAGGCTACCCATCTGGGAAGCGAGGAAGCTGGGATTCAAACCCACATCCCCTGGCTTTTCCTTGGATATCTCTTTTCTCTATGCTCTGCTGTTTCACTGGGGGTAGATCTTTACGGCTGCCTCTTCCCAGATGTGCTATGACTCAAAGAAAGATCTGTAGGAATGCTGCAGAATAAAGGAAGAAAGGGGCGCAAGTTCGTGTGCCAAGACAGAGACAAGAGCCTGGCCCAGACGATGTTATTTTTGCTTCATTTTTTTTCTCCAGTGTTGTTCTGAATTCCTCTTCCTCCCCACTCCATCCAAGGTGTCAAACAGATGTGAAAAATACCACAGAACTCAAGCCTCAACCCTGGCTTATGATTCATTTGTTGGGATGGGGAGAAACAATGCAAGAGAGTGTTATGGTGATGCCTGTTTTCAGAGGCAGCGTCATGGGAGACAGCAGTCGTGGGCAAAGAGTTCATCCTCAGGCTTGCAGAGATGCTCAGCATTCCTGTTGCACAGCCTCAGTGGGAGACAGGGCAGAAACTACGACAGGGCAGAAACTACTGTTTTGGCTGGAGCTGGGAAGAGCCAAGCTGCTAGGTGTATTCCTTTGTTTTCATCAAGGTACATGAATGAGAAATTCTATTGTCTCATTCTATTTGTTTATGCATTTTCTGTCTTTTCCCCACCCAGTAGATAACTTTACACATTTTGAACATGCTTAGACTTGTAGAAGATGAGCATTGGGATGTAATGACTGAACATGACCTGACCTGTAGTGCTGGGGAGGTGGATCACTGGGTGAAGTGCTTGCTGTGTAGGCATTAGGACCCAAATCTTGATCCCCAGCACTCATGCAAAAATCCAGGCATCGTGGTGTTTGTCTATAATTCCAGGGCCCAGAAATAGAGACAGAGGGATTCTAGGTACTCACAGGCAAGACAGTATAGCCAATAGGTAAGCTGAAGACTTTGTCACAAAAAACAAACAAACAAATAAATAAATAAACAAATAAATAAATAAAAAGGTGGAGAACAAAGGAAGAAACTTGACATTGACTTTTGACTTTATAGTCACATCTGTGAGCATATGTCCTTGTGTACATGGACATACGCGCGCGCACACAAACACACACACACACACACACACACACACCCTGACCCCTGCATTCAGGTAATCTGGATTGCAATCCTTGTTTTACTCTCTGGAATGTGACCTCATGACCAAGTTTCTTTCTGAAGATCAGAGGAGAAGACTGAATTTCCTGTGTGAAAAGTGAGATAGTGAACAATGGCAGAGAGGTATACAAAGTGCTTGGCACATTGCTTCGTGCATAGTGAGGTCTCAGTGGACAGCAGTTCCTAGGAAGATTCATCTACAGACATTTGTTCTGTTGGTGGAAACAATAATGACTATTATTCAGACCGGTTAGAAAGATAAGAAAACCACAAAGGATAGAAAGTTAAGACATTGAACTTAACAGTGCCCAGTGCTGTGACAAAGAGTTCCCAGATTTGGTTGGCTTTGAAGTTATTTCTGGAATATGTCTGAGTCTGATGTGTGTAAATCAGGAGGCAAGGCGGGCATCTCATGCAGCCATCCACGGCCTTGGGCTCAGATCATTTGCTTCCTTGGGAATCCTCCACTATTTTCTGAATACAGCCCAAGATACAGGCCAGGGATGGGTATGGAGCACTGGGCAGGGAATTTATGGTTCCACCCTGAAGGCTTCATGTATTACTTTGCCCCATGGTGCAGTGCTATGAACTCCGTCACATGGTCACGCTTGAGGAAATCTTGGAAATGTAGCCTGTGCGTTCACAAAAATGATCTGATGGACAATTCACTAGCCTGTCGATGTTCAGTGAATGGACTAATGTCGTGTCGTGGTGACTTCCATGCTTCTCTAAGCTCCCATCTGGAGGAGTGGACATCCTTGGTTAAGCAGTCTTTACTGGGCTGAGCATGAGACCAGGGCCATTTCTTTCCTCATCCCCAGGATGACATAAATGCCTTCTTTCCTTGAGCCACCTTTGACTACAAGGAGAGGAAATCAGCAGAAGCTCCCATTTTCACCATGGAGAGCCATGGGAACTGATTCCATTCCTAGTGGTGAATTAAATATTCAGTAGGTGCCTTTTTTCTTTCTCCTTGTTCCATACCTTCAATGTTATGAAATAGATCACCTCAAAGTTAATGGCTTAAGACACAGTGCCTGGGGGATGGGGAGCCTGATTCCTTTTGGTAAACTCAAATTTCACAGTGTAGGTAGGTAGGGATTGTACTTCAGGTAGTTAGTGTAATCTCACAGGCTGAGACTGAGGATTTGGTAGGTGGTGGGTGAGCATCGTGAGCATAGCATCTCAGTTAACCCTCAATAAAAGCTCTTGAAGTCATGCGTGTCCTCCCGATCCTTATTAGTCATGGGGCCACCTGGGAGGTGGTTGGGCAAGGAATTCAGCTCTGGGACAATGTGTGAGGGCCCCCACAGAATACACCACCCCGCCATGTCCTAAGTGCCTCTGTGGCACGCTGCAGTCTTTCTCATAATGAATATTAATTGAAAATATCGGCTCCGCAACTAGCAGCATGAACTGCTGCAGTCTCACGCTGTGTCCTGGTAATTAAACCCTCAGCTGCTTTATCCCATTCCCAGTTGTCAAGGTCCCTCTAGGTCTCTCCAGATCCCAGAGGGAGTGGAGGAAGAGAGCTCATGATGGGTGAGAGATTGTCAAATCCCAGCTGCCCACTGGTGTCTGGTCCTGGCAGCAGGGTTCTTCTGTATTTTCTGTGTGCCTTGGGCCCTTTCTTCAGCAACACCCTGCACAGCTAGCAAAGGTGAAATGGGGTGTACTTATATCACAGACTAAGAAACAGTTGCGATGGCTATTCTAAGAGGGGTAAAACTAAAAAAGGAAATGGGAGCCTAGGTGAGGTTACCTGAGGGCACACTTGATTTTTATTTCACTGTAATTTCTAATATCAAAAAGGTGACCCCTTCCTCATACTTGACTGTTCCTCACACAAAATGCAAAAATTGGAAACGGCTCTCCTATTCCTCTAATACAAGCGTATAACTCACACATCTTTCTGGAGATCTGTTGTGAGACAGGTGACTCTTGGGAATCCCAGTAGCCTATCCTGATCCTTTGGTTAACAGAAGACGCATATAGCACAGTTCCATAAGGTTATACTATTGTGTACCATCACAGCTGCTAAATTTGTGTGCCCGTACTCTGATGTTTGTATAGTGATGAAAGGCAAGCAACAACACATCTTTTGAAGCAGAGTCTATCCATTGTGTGATTTGTGACAGTGTATAAACTGTCGATTTATAGACACTCTCTAGAAACTCCATAGGCTCAAACCTAGAAACTTCCTCCTCATAGGGAAAACATATGATGGAGGGATTTGTTGTCCAGTATCCAGTGTTAAGAACTGTAACATTCTTTATGGTCCCCCATTTTTTTCACCCAGGGAGCTTAGATGATTGTAGGGACTGCAGAATATCCAGTTGTTCCCAGGTTCCCCCTTAACTTCCCTTCCCCTTTAACTTTGCTTTCTTACCACCCTCGGTGCCTCCTTCACCTTCGCCCCCAGTAACTGCCACGCTGAGCCTTCAGCTCTTCCATGACAAATGCTCCTAAGCTTCCAGGTTGAGGCAGGAATCATCCACACAGCTGTCCTTGGCTGCTGGGTGGAACCAGCCGTTACTGCAGGCCAGGCGGAAGCTCTGCTGTGCTGCTGCTTGTTAGGAGGTTAAACTTGGGAGATTTATGAACTAATTAGGAACTGTGCAAGTTTTGTTTTGTCTATTAGAGAAGATTGTGTTGTCTGTTTATATCTAGTAGTTATGCACCAAAGTCAGTGATAATTCTTTTGGTTTCAGGCAGTAGAAGGAGAATGGCTTCTTTCATCTTCTCAGTCTTCACTGTCCTTTAGTGGAGGCACAATGGCTAACTCTGTTTAACTCTGAACTGCTTTAAACCAAAATGCAAAGGAGAGGGGATAGATTTTTTCGCAAAATGCCAAAGTACAGAGGTATCTGCCTTCAGGCGCAGGCAGATCCAAACACTGATGGGACAACATGAAGAATGTCTCTCTTCATCTTCTGGGTCTGGAACACTGTCCTATAGTGGCAGCAAGATGACTTCTGGTACTGAGCTGCTTTGCTACCCCAGTGGACAGAAAGTTATTCTTTGAAAATCATACATGCATTCCTGAGACAATGGAAGGGATTACACATACTTTAAAAGCCTGGCCTAGGTCAGCTCTTCCTCCCTGGAACCTCTGGACTTGTGACGAGGCCTCAGCAGTACTTGTATAAATTAATCTGAAAATTGGGTGGGTGGGGACCCAGGGACATTGAGAGATAGGTTTGTTGCTTGAAGAAGGGACCACAGAAGACAAGCAGTTAAGTGTGACTGGGCTCTGCTACATACATAATGAATGGCTTATTCCATACAATTTCCTTAAGGTTAGTTGGACATGCTCAAGGGATATCATTAATCATTGGAATTGCCTTCCCCCTGACAGGCAGCGTTCCCCCAGTCCAAGCCAGTATGCCTTGAATAGACTGTAAGTGTAACCTGCACAATTCTGACCTAAATTTTCTTTCCATTGCAGTGACCTGGACAGAAATAACATCACCAGGATCACCAAAACGGACTTCGCTGGACTGAAGAATCTCCGAGTCTTGTAAGTAGCAGATGGTGCGCCAGCGAGTTTTCATTTTCAGCTCTTCAGCCTGTGAAAATGTTGCACTGCCCTGACATCACATTCCCAAGCTCTGGGCCACAGGAATTCATGTGTCTGCTGCAGGGAGCCCTTCATTACTGCGCCAAGTGTTCACAGATATCAAATTGTATGGCTGGACGCTGTTGGCTGGGCCAGATCGATAGAAGAGCCAGGTTCCAGCCACAGGAAAAACAGAAGGCAATAAATGAATTAAGTCAACATGCCCTGCTTCCTGGATGACAGCAATGTCAGGTTGACTAACCATGCTTCCCTTCCATAGAGATTATAATTTCTTCTCCAGCTTGTGCATTAAAAGAGCAATTGGGACAGCTGTTATTTATCTTGCTGCTTAATGGAGAGGAGGGGAGGAGGGATGGAGAGGGCCAGGCGAGGGCAGAGTCCTTGCTGGCCATTCGCAGCTGTGCAGACCAGTAGCCAAATCTGAGGTAGGCATTGGTGAGATGGGACAAGAAGTAGTGGATTTCTTCTCTGAATATTGAAGACTTTTCCCCGACTGTGTGTGTTAAGAAGATGCCCACGTACTGTTCACTGAAAAGTCTAAAACATTCAGAAATGTGGCAGTGGAACAGTTGGGTTCCCTTTCCTTCCTTTCTTTCTTCCTGGTGATTTTTACCCATAATGTGGCCCGTGCCCAAGAGTGCAGCCTGAGAAGTTTGACCCCAGCTTTGGTGTTATTTGTGTCATGGAATCTTGGCTGGCCCATCTCTATTGGCAGTTACAGCCAACTCATTGCTACCAGATTCCACCTTCCTTAAAATAAAACACTTCGTTTCAGATTGATTTCATTTTATGTGTAGGAGTGCTTTGCCTACATGCATGTATGTGCACCATATGTGTGCCTGGTGCCCTTAAAGGTCGGAAGGAGGCATCAGATCCCTGGAGCTTGAGTTATAGATGGTTGCGAGTTGTCCTGTTGGTGCTGGGAATTGAACCTGGGGCTGGGAGGGCTACATCTTCTACAAAAGCAACTACTCTGAACTCCTGAGCTATCTATCAAGGCCCCAACATCCCTGCTTCTAGCTCTACAAAACAGTATGATTTTGTCCCTGGGACAAGAAACATCAGATTCTGATGTGATTTGGGACTAATTATTTGCTCAGGCAACTTTGGAACATGAAAAGCAACATGAAATCCCTGTACCTCCTTGGGCCTCAGTTTCCCCTTCAGCAACATAGGGAGTGAATACTTCAAAGTTCTCTCAACTCTAGTTATACTTGGAGTGCTTTGGGCCGTTAGCATTCTCCTTTTGATTATTGCCTGTCGCTTGTGAAGCAGGGCTTTGGTAATGTTGATATCTTGTTAGCTGAGAAGTGTTAGTAACAAATAATGCTGATGATGATGGCGACCAGCATTTACTTAGTACTTACTATGTGCCCATTGCAGGGTCATGTACAAGAGCCTAGGAAGGTGGAGTTATTATGGCCACCCTCTTTGCAGGAGAGGAAAAGGCACTGGATTGAGAAATCTCGGCTCTGCAGAGAGCAACAGAGGAAGCAGAATTAGAATCCAGGTGGTGTGCCTCCTAACCTGCATGCAGTACTTCTGGGCTCATGCAGGAGGAGGGGGGGGAGGGGCTGGGAGAGGGGAGGAGGTGCAGCTCCAATGACTGGGTTCTTGAGGAGGGGAAGGGAAAGGACAAGCAGCTCCTGAGTGTGGAATGTGAGCAGAGTGTTCCTCTAGGCCAGGGCACAAGGAAGCAGGAATCTGACTTCTGCTCCTCCGGCCACCAGATGCCTCTCCACAGGCATTTCTCTCCTCTTTGGAGTTGAACACTCCTTTCTCATCATCCCCAGGTCAAAGATCTACTTTGTGCTAAGCCCTTCTTGTACTCTGAGCATCTACGTGTCTGTCAAATGAGTAATTGCTCTGATGAGGCCTGCGCTCAGTGGAATGCAAGTTGCCAAAGAAAAGGCAAGAGTCTTCTGCTTCCAGGTCGTTTGCCGATTTAAAAAGCAAAACTGTGTTTTAGGCTTTTGCTTTGTGTCTTTCTCCCCTCCACGGCCCCCGCCACCATGTCTTTGACTTGAATCTGTAATAGAAGCTTTTACATACTAGTCAAAATTCATCTAATGCTTCATTTTCAAACCAAGTCAAAAATAACACTTTGATTTTTTTTTTACTGCTGCATCAGAGAGACTAATAAAAATTCCAATTTCTGTATCTGCTGTCTACAAATAGAAACTTTAAAATAATCACAAAAGATGACATTAATGTCTTCTGCATAGTCCACAATATTCCTTGACTACAGTTTATCTTTTCAGATAATTGGTGCATTCTTCTAACTTGATAAGCAATTCCAAAATGCCTTTACCCCTGCTTTACCAACTATTAATATGTCTGTTTCATTATGTGCCTTATCTGCTCCAAGACAGTCCTTTTCAAGTGGCCCTTTAATTCGATGAAAGAAATCTGCTAGGTGGGAAAGCTGAGAACCCATCTAACACTAATAAAATAGCCGAACATTTTAACCGTGTTTTCCCTCCATCTATTCCTCTCAGCTAAGTAACCTAGAGAACTCTCCTTTATTTTTTTATTTTTTGAAAAGCTTTCATCACATCCTGGCATATTCCCCGTGTCTGTTTCTTATTTACAATTTATGGTGAAGCAATAAAAGACTCGATAGTCTTGAATAATTTGAGCTTGCCCCTCCCACCCCCATTTCCGTGTAGAATGCCTTAGAGCTGCTAATATGGCTCAGGTGAATGTAAACACAGAACAGAAACTGGTGAACTTCCATCTCATCCAAGGGTGACTTTCTCTAAATGAAGCAGAGATGTAGGAGTTGCCTGCGACAGTCATTCTCTTCCCACAGGTTAGGAGCAGAGAAAAGTTTCCAATGTTGGTATCAATTAAATCCTCTTTCTTAGTGATCCATTTAAGGAGTGAGTGTGTTCACAATGTGGGAGCCAGCTTTATCCCAAATGGGGTTAATAAAAGAGTTAAACTCCGCCTCAGCCATCATCACATGAGTACCATTTCCGATTCTAATCTCGTGAAAAAAAAATGTGCTAAAGAACTGAAAATGAACACAGTCTGTGCCCCACCCCCAACTTAGAACAGACACCAGCCATGGGCAACCCTTGTGGGGATCTAGAACCCAGCCTGACCTTGATCCCACATATCCTCCTACACTTGGCCAGCAAACTAGGTCTGAATCAACTGTTGTCTGCCCTTAGCTTTCAGTGCTTCTCAGAAGCCTTCAAGCAGGCTTTGGGGCTCACTCATCCATTGACAGTGCCAGGCGCTTTTGTGTATCAGATAGTATTTATTTAGCTTTTAAATGCCAGGCATGAGGCTACACTTTGTTGGGTCTAGGAAGCCAATCTGAAAAGGATCCTGGATACCTTTCCGACAGGAACAAGAGGATACTGCAGGGGGCAGACGAGGAGACCTAACATTTGCTGAGGTGTAGGTGGCATGAATCCAGGATGAGACAGTGAACTTCCCCAGGATAGTAATGACAGAGCCCTGACGGCTTACAGGCCTTGGGGAGCAATGGGAGCAAATGAATCTCAGAGCCCAACAAAAGCAGGGGCTACCTGGCAACAACAAAATAGGGGGACACAATCCCCCTGGGGTGCTTTGGTCAGGAGGTAGAAGGGCAAATCTCCCAACCTAACGATCTTTCCATAGTTCCTGGCTCCTGCTAGTAATGTCCGGTAGCTGAAACCAGCAGTAAGTAGAGGCCAAGAAGCTCTTTGGGAATGCTACTGCAAGTTAGCTTCCCAGGGCCTGAGCAAGCTGGAGCAGGGACAAAAACCTCATGTGCATTTGTTCCAACATCCCCATTTCTTGAAAGAAATTAGCGGTGTTAGCAAAATGAATACAAAACAATGAAAAACATTATTGGAGGTCAGAGTTAGGCTTCTCTGAACATTCAAAGCTTGATACTCAGCCACCATAGAGTTAGCCCTTTTTCTAACTGGAGAATAATGTCAGTGAGTGCTGTCTGATTGATTGATTATAAAAGTCTGGCTGAGCAACCTCCCTAGTCACTAGTATTGAACTGACACCCTGTTTAGTAAATGTGCTAATAAAAGCCTGTTAGCTTCCCAAGGCCTTTTTGCCATATGGCAGAATGGAGAAGAGGAGGGAAGGGTAGGAGAGGAATATTTATTAAAAAAATATAGATTATTACTTCTGACCCTGGGCTTGATGATTTATTTAATCCATTTTTATTCTTGTGTTTCTGTGATGTCTTCTTTCCTGTATTTTACAAATGAGGAAACTGAGTCTTAGAAATGATGACTAGCCAGCTCAATACACCACCATCTAGTAAGAAGTAGGGCAGAGATCCTAAAGCAGTGGGTCTCAACCTGTGGGACAAGACTTCTTTGGGGGTTTAATGACCCTGGTCACAGGGGTCACCTAAGAACATTGGAAAACACAGAAATTTACATTTTGATTTATAAAAGTAGCACAAATACAGTTATGAAGTATCAACAAAAATTTATTGTTGGGGTGTTACCACAACATGAACTGTATTAAAGGGTCGTAGCATTTGGAAGGTTGAGAACCACTGTCCTGAAATATACTGGGTGCCTGAAAGTCCTCTCATTAGTTGTGTGGTTCCCCTTGGGCAAGTTCCTTAGCTACTCCATTTTTATCTGTTAAGTGAGTGACCTGGAAAGAACTGGTCTGCAAGGGATAGAAGTTACATAAATGGGGCTCTTGAAAGGTTAAAGATTCTGGTGAATATGCTGACCTTCCTGGCCAGTTAATATTTGTAAACACAAATGTGTTTACATATTTGAGTCAACAAATTACCTCTACGTGCCCTGATAGAAGCCTTACATCATTGACTCTTTTTTTTCCTTTATGGAAAACCAGTACGTACTGGGTTTTTCATTCAGTAGGTTTACATGGTAGGCTACTGTGCCAGGGCTGAGAGCATGAGGAAAAGAAGGTCTGGTCATTATTCTTTGGGAAGAGACAGGGAGATGAAGCACTGAGGTTGGAGTCTTAAGCCTAAATCATGCAGAAGGTAAGGGCATTCCAAGAGGAGGGGCCATCATGCAAGGTTTGTTTTGGAGTGAAGATGCATCCTCCCCAAGCCTGTGCACTCCCCGGTGCTTCTGCCATTCCAGAGCAAACTGTGGCTCTTCCTAAATCCCCCCTCCTTTCAAGAAACAGCCTTCAATCACAATTGCACTCCCCTCCAAATCCCACACAGCTACCAAATGCAGTCCCTGTCATTTCCTGGCCCATTTCCCACCTAAAACCCATGCATCATCCTTGCATCCCTTCCCTACTGTTCAGCGAATGATTAGTTACTAATTTATGTTGAGCTGCCTTTTTTTTTTTTTTTTTGTAAGTTGGGGAAACAAATGTTCCATTGTATGATCAACTCTTAGGGTGTGCTGAGTGCATGAATCAAACTCATTTGTATAGAGTGTTTAGGATTCTTAATCACCTGATGGGAGAACTTAGAGGTCCAGTAAAGATGTAGTCAGGGATAGCGACAACTCTCATGAACATCTTTAGGAGGTTGGGATGAGCCTGTGCCTGTGTGAGGGAATTCCCGGGACCAGGCTAGATGTCTTAGTACTCCATCCTTTCCATGAGGTGGAGCACGGAAGGCCCTAATCAATGAATTATTTTTGAATCCCTGGAGGAGGGAGCTCCAAAGGCAGAAGTGATGAATGTGCGTGCTTTCTCCAAGGAACAGCTTTACCTCTTCCATTTCTGTGCAGCATTCTGCAGTGCTTGGGGCGGGGGTTGGGAGGGGCTGTGCATTTGTTGGGAACATTCTTAAAATAGAGGCATGGAAGCCGATCTGTCAGGTAGAAGTGTGCAGGAATTGAAACACTGGTTACTGCGATACTACACTGGGATGCAAGTTATTTTGTCCCATCAGAGTGATTACAATTGGAGGGTCCCAGGGGTCCCAGGATGGGAAGTGTGATATGGCTGTACAGCCTAAAGCCCCTCATGAGGGCTCCTACTGCATTTGGTTCCCTGACCCTGGCTCCCTTTCTGATTCTAGACATCTAGAAGACAATCAGGTCAGCATCATCGAGAGAGGCGCCTTCCAGGATCTGAAGCAGCTGGAGCGATTGTAAGTAAAGTACAACCTTGTGGGGTTTTTTTGTTTTTTGTTTTAAAAAGGTTTCTACATTCTTCCTTTGTTTTGTTTCATAAATTGTCTTGTGGCCAATTTGGTAAAAGCAAGTCTCCATGTTCTGAAAAAAATGTTTTCTACTACATTTAAAGTTGTTTGAAGCATGTTATGGAGAAACATGTAAGCTCCTGATCTAGAAAGGATGCAGGGGCCAGCATCTGAGGTGAGATTTCTTCTTTCCAGGCTTGAGGCATCCCTTGGTTTCTTTCCATGGAGCTGCTTCTACCCTCACCTCAGCTTCTTCTTTCCCAGAAGAGTGAGCTAATGTCATGGAAGCCAGCAGCAGATCCTCCCCTATTCCTGGGGCTTCTCCTCCTGGGACTCCTCCTTGTGCTCTTGTGGGAGAGGAAGGATGGGCGAGTGGGCGCAGCCTTCCGCGTGCCTGCTTCTCTGAGTGCCAGCCTGTCTCAGAAAACCCACACGTTTCCACGAGAGAACACGCTGCCTCTGGTTTAAAATAGGCCGCTGTTCTGACTTGATCAGAGGGTGGGCAGCAAAAGAAGTGGGCTGGGAGCTGGGTGGAGCCTCCATTTATTTTGCCCATGAATGCTTTTGCAGAAAACTCTGGGGTCGTTTTTGATGAGGAAGGTTGCTGAGATGGTTAAGTGGGCAGCTTCACCTTTCCTCAGTTAATCACTTCTGACAGCTCATAACATCTGGATATTTGCTTTCTGCCCTCTGAGTGGGGATTGTCCCCAAGAGCACTTAGTCATGCCGGTGGGCGGCTCTCATCCGTGCCTCCCCCTGTAGCCCCATTGCCCTGACATTTCAGCTTCCTTCTGTACTCGGGGCTGGAACTATAGCAGTTCACAGCTCTGCCAGCTTACCTGAGAAAACACCGCTCTGCGTATCCGTCCTGTTGCCAAAGCTCGCTTGCTTTGAGACAGGTCTCTTTTATAGACTTGTTTGGGTGAGATGGTCTGCCTGACCCAACTTTCTTATTTTGTGTTGTGTCATCCTTTCTGCGCCAAGTCATTGTATCCAAGGCCACAGGGCAATGGGGAAGGTCCTTGCCTCGTGGCGATTAATATCTGTTGTTTTCTTCTGGATCAAACTCCAGCATGGCTTTTGCTGTCACTAGTTTAAATATGACATTTATTTCTAGTAAGAGAAAAAAAGTTATTAAAATTATGTTGCCTTTGTTTACATTTAGATTTTTTTTCAAGTTTCATAAAATTTAAGTTTTTCTTTTTGGACTAAAGAAAACATGAAAGTATTTGTTGAACCTAGTTCCTCTTTGTGAAATTCAACATTTACATAGGAAAATAAACACATGGTCCAGTGTGAAAAACCTCCTTCTTGCTTAGTTTTCTGATTAGAAGGGTAAATAAATTGTTAATTTGTTAATTTCATGGTTGTTGGGAGGGAATTAGTGAGTGCTTTAGAGACACCAGGAACTGCAGGTGTGTGTGTTTGTGTGTGTCACAAGCAATCTTTTATTTTAACCTCCTGCCAAATTACAACAAGCGACAATGAGATATCATTACCCTCCTTTTGCAGATGAAGAAACAAATGCCTAGGGAGAAAGAGTTGTCAGGGCTGAGTAAGATTCCCAGCCACATCTGTCTGACATCAAAGTCCGCCTCCTTTCATATTTCTGTGCTACAGACATGAGATGAAGTGTGAGCTTCAGCAATGGCCCTGCAAATAGCCTCTCATGTACCCATTCAAGTCCAGGGAGGCTCGGGGAAGTATTCTGGCAAAGGTCTCTCTCTCTCTCTCTCTCTCTCTCTCTCTCTCTCTCTCTCTTTGCAGTAGTGAACAAGGCCAAAATACCAAGCATGTCTAGAGAACTAAGGGATTACAGTTGCTGAGCAAACCTGACTCTCTGTCTGTTTTGGTATATTAGGTACATAATACTAGTTGCAATACTAGATAAACCTGCAAATCTCAGTGACTTAACACAGTGGAAATTTCCTTCTAATTCTTCCAAACTTGATATGACATTCTTGTTAGGGCCTCCCTCTCAAGTATAGTCTCAGAGGCAGGCTCCTTGGCGGCCATCTTTATATCTTGGTTTGCAGTGTACAAATGTGTCAAGTCCGTGAGTGGGGAAATAGCATGGTGCACTGGGCACAGGATGTTTCCACATGAGACCTGGAAGAGGACTATGCCGTATCCATCCTTACATCTGCAAAGCACTACAGGGAAGGCTGCCAATGGTGGCTGAGCGCTAGGACAGGTGGTAGATGCTAGCTTAGTGGATGATAGGTAGCCAGTCTCACTTGTGTTACACGTAAGCTGGAGAAGTACTTGGACAAGAAGATGAAGGGTATCTGTCATTTTATAGGCATCAGAGTCAGCAAGAAGGTAGGGTTGAGTATGTGTGTGTGTACAAGTTGTATGTGTGAATGTGTATGTTGTGTGTGGGGGGGTGTGTGCGTGTGAGGGATCCTTCCTGGTGTTAATCTGCTTTCTAGTCAAGCCGTCTGTGTCTGTTTTTCATCACACCGAGTGACATGAAAGAAGAAAATGCAATATATTTGCTATTAACCACTGAAGAAGTAGATGGCGGCTGTGCCATCTGTAGCACACTCCAGGGTCTCCTTACTGCATCTGTGCGTTACATAATAAAATATTTTTATTGGCTCTGTTCTAAAACAGCCTAAAAAAATGGATTTTGATAATTTCCATTCTGAGTGTTTTATTCTTGGCTTGCTCTCTTGGGGGCTCGCTGGGAAAGGGAAGGGGAGTCTAACATTTCAAGTCTTGGGATTCTTCTGTTCCTTGACGAAAGGACCCCTAGACTGAGTTAGGTGCCGGTCTGTCTTAGATTATTTCCTATTGTATCAATGAAACACCTGAAGCTGGGTACTTTATAAAAAGAAGTTGAACTAATAGAACTCATGGTTCTGAGGACTAACAACATAACATTGGCTGACCCCATCAGTTGGGCTTCTGGTGAGGGTCCCATTAACACTGCTGCATCATGGTGGATGACATCACAATGGCAGCCTACATGAGGAAGAGAGATTATTTAGGGAGATAAGAAGCCAGACACTAGGAGAGCCCAGGCTTGCTCTCTTGTTTTCTTTCTTAAAATCTTGTTCTTAGGAGAACAACAAACTTGTCAGTTTCTTACAGGAGTCGTGCCCCCATACACAATCCCCTCCCCCTTGGCACTGCCTCTGAAAGGTTACAGGACCTGTTAATCTTGCCGCATTTAGGATGAGGCTGTCAGCATATCCCATTCACCTCCCTGTGATAGTGGCTCCTTCTCATCCCATCCGTAACGTGCCGGATACCGTGTCTTCGCTTCCACTTGCAAAATTATTTCTCTTCTGAACAGTGCTTCTGTTGGAGGCAGAATCTTGACCCATTTCGCTCCCCCTATACCAAAAGCCCTGAACGAGAAAAGAGTATATAGGTACTTCCGGGCTATTTACTAAAAGTACTTGAAGTGTTATTTTATGCTAGTAGATCTGAGCTGGGACTCGTTTTTCTGAGAGGATTCTTGGTGATGTCTGGAGACATTTTTGACTTTTATAACAAGGGCATGCTAAGTAGTGGGTAGAGGCCAGTAGTATCTCTGAAAAGCCTAAAATACTCAGGATATCCCTCAAGAAAGAATTCTCCATCCCCAGATATCACTGGTGCCAAGGCTGAGGTGTCCTCATGAAGGGAGAAGTAACATGTCAGATGCTTCACAGAGGCCATGTCATCTATTATACACGAGGACCACGACGCCCAAATCAGCATGACTTTGGTGTGATAAAACATAAAACTCAGACCATTACTGTGAAATATTGTTCCTACTGTGTTTATGCAAAATCTGCCTTAGCTCTCAGTTCTCTCCAGAAAGGCTGAAAAGGATGAACAGCCAGGTAAAACCAGGGGCGGGAAACAAATAGACAGGCCCTTCTCTGGGGTGTCCACCCCAATCTTCTCAAAAAATCTGCAGCATGAGATAGGCAGTGAGGGCGCACGCCTTTAATCCCAGCACACGGGAGGCAGAGGCAAGTGGATCTCTGTAAGTTTGAGGCCACATAGGGCTATGCTGAGAAACTCTGTCTCGAAAAAAAAAACAAAAACAAAAACAAAAACAAAAAAAACCAAGAAAGCAAAACAAAACAAAAAACGTTTCTGGGTCATGAAAGATGTGGCCACGCCATTGATTGGTCTAGGTTTAAGAAACTTAGCATGGCAACAGCAACAACGGTAGTTGGGAGGATTAAAATAATGTACAAACTGATAATGACACCCACGTTCATCTCCTGATCACCCGAGTATTCTCTACAAAGCATAGTATAGAATGCAATAACCAAAGGGAGGGAGGTGATGACAGGTGTGCGACACACTGTAGGGTTCGTACATGAGGGATAAAAGGAAAGAAAAAATACTGGAGAACAAACAAGGTAGATAGTAAAGGTGCCGTGCGCACACACGGGTGTAAGATTAGGGCGACACAGATGGCCAAGCCAGCAATTAAAACACACAGAGTGGCAGAGTGGTCTTAAAGATACACAGCAGTTATGTTATTTTTTTTAAAAACTTGATTATTTTTAAGTATGTGTATGTGTATATGTGGTTCTCTGTGTGTGTTTGGGCAGATGAGTGCATGTGTCGGGTGTCCCCTGAAGCTGGAGTGGTGATAGGCCACTGTGAGCAGCCTGATGTAGGTGCTGGGAGCGAGCTCAGGTCCCTTGCAAGAGCAGCAATGGTTCTTAATCACTGAGCTATCTCTCCTGCACCCCAGTACTTATGTGACTTTCTAAAAATGAATTAGACGTAAAGATGGGAAAAGGTTGGAAAATAAAAATGAAGGTAATGGTATTTAGAAAACACCAAAAGAATGTACTGAATAAAACAGTCTTCTTGTAATATAGAAACATTAGTGGGTATAAAGCAGGATATTTAATATTGATAAAGTAGTAAATAACCATTAAGAAATACAGCAAGTCTAGGCTGAAAACATAGCCTGAAAATATGTAAGGCAG